AGGAAATGCAGGAAATACAGGAATTGGAACTAATGAATTCCTGTATTTCCTGCATTTCCTCCATTAGTTCGTTCCATTTTGCTTAACTGAGCACAGCCCTGTGTTCAGTTAAGCAAAATGGAACGAACTAATGGATGAAATGCAGGAAATACAGGAATTCATTAGTTCCAATTCCTGTATTTCCTGCATTTCCTCCATTAGTTCGTTCCATCTTGCTTAACTGAACACAGCCTAGTACTGGCAGTACATTTCGGAACGCAGCCCGAATTGAGGGTTTCGGTGGAAACTAGACCAGTGTTTTCTCTGTGGTGATAGTATCGAAATTATACATATTCACAACTGACAGATTTTTTTAAAAAACTTCTTGAGCACCAAACCAAATTAATTATCTGGAGCGAATTGAACTAAGGTTTGAAAGTAATTGTAAAGTACGAATTTGACACAGTAAAATGACAAAAAACTTTCTTTTTTTACTTCTAACCTATAAATTTAATTTTTAAATCTCTTTACAGAAACATACATTACTTTTAATTTTAATCAAAGTACATTTAAAAACAACATATAATTAGTAATTAACCTATAATTTTTTTATAATTATAGATTAATTATTTCAACTGATTCTCAATTCAATCTTGTAATGGCTCAGTGGGCATAGTTGAGAGACCTATATGCCAGTTTCAACTGACTCTAAAAAACCAAACATAAACAATGGGAAAACATGAAGTAGGCACACCAAAATATATTGCTAATAAAATCAAAGCCAAAGGTTTGCAAAAGTTACGCTGGTACTGTCAAATGTGTCAGAAGCAGTGCCGTGATGAAAATGGTTTCAAATGTCATACAATGTCCGAGTCTCATCATCGTCAGCTGTTACTCTTTGCTGAAAATGCTCACAAATATATGGATGAATTCTCAAGAGAGTTTTCGAAAGGATATTTAAATTTGTTAAAACGACAATTTGGCACAAAAAGAGTGCCAGCAAATAGAGTGTATCAAGAATATATAGCAGATAGAGGACATATTCACATGAATGCTACTCAATGGCTTACATTGACAGCATTTGTAAAATGGCTTGGGCGTACTGGCCAATGTTTGGTTGATGAAACAGAAAAAGGTTTGTGTTATTTGTTAACATTAAAATTTATGCAAAGGCTACTGAAGAATATTTTTACTGATAAAATTTTTTTAGATTTTACTTAGAAAATCTTATATTTTTCAGGTTGGTACATTACATATATTGACAGAGATCCTCAGACACTTGCTATGCAAGAGAAAAAAGCAAAGAAAGAAAAAATGGACAAGGATGACGAGGAACGTGAAATGGATTTTATAGAAAAGCAAATAGAAAGAGCTAAGCAAGTTGCAAAAAAAGACGAGGATGAGATATGTAAAACACCACTTTTACGACCTGAGAAAGACACACCTTTAGTTCTCGACATAAAGTTGAAACCAAAACCAAAATTACTTCCTGTAATAAAACAGGAAGAGATAAAAAATGAAAAAGACAACGGTTCGAGCAAACTGTTTCATGAAAAGGCTGAAAAATCAAAAAGATTCAATAGCAACAATGAAACAGCGTCTGCCAAAAAGTTGAAGATTGACAGCAGTCCTGTATCTCAAGGATGGCTCAAAAAAGGTTTAATGGTTAAGATAATCACAAAAAGTCTAGGTGAAAAATATTATAAAGCAAAAGGTATAGTCCAATCTGTTGGAGAAGACAGTTTCGTCGGTAAAGTGAAACTTACAACTCCTGAAGAAGTTAGTGGACATGTTATACGATTGGATCAGGAATACTTGGAAACAGTAATTCCTGCAATCGGCAAAGATGTTCTGATTCTTTGGGGAAAGCATAAAGGAAACATAGCAATAGTGAAGAAACTACATATAGAGCGCTACAGTATAGATGTGGAACTTCAGAAAGATAAGAGAATTGTAGAAATGCTTCCATACGAACAAGTATGCAAATTTGTAGATTGATGAAAAAGTTGTGTAAAAAAAGGACAATAGAAAATATATATTTCAGTCGACAATGTTCTATATTCCTTGTGTCCTAAAGAGCACCTGTGTACAAATGTAAAATTAATGGGGTGAAATATACATATAACACTTTATTCAAGTTAACTTTTATATATTAAATATTGTATGTAATATCCAGTCAAATAATTGACTGGATGTTACATATTAGTTTATATGTATATAAGGAGTACACATATGTATGTATGAGATTAATATAATATCTTAATATAATACCTTAGATAAATATTTTTTATCTAAGTAATAGAATATAATTTTAAACATTAAATTCCGAAATAGTTTTTGAGAAAAATTACATTTTATATCTAATCACCAAATTTTTTTATTGTGATTAAATTGTCTTATATATTGTATATATGTATACACACACACACACATATACTATATATATATGTATATACTCATACACAAAAACAAAATATGTTCAAGAAAATAATGTTTATTATATAAGAAAATTACATTATTGCATTGTATTTACATAGAAATACAGTATATAAAATATATATGTATTGTAAAATTATATAAATTATATAAATATATACAGGGTGTACGACAATTATAAAATTTTTCGTAAGCAGGTAGAAGGAGTAACACTGAGTCGAAAAGTCCTGAACCATTTTGTTCTATTACACATAATAAAAGAATAATTATTGAATAAATCAAGCCAATCAGCGCCGACCTTTAGCCGGGCGTATGTCAGTGAACCATGCGCTTGTGCGTGAGCGCTCCGCGCAGCTCAGTGACGTGCGCCCGGCTAAAAATCGGCGCTGATTGGCTTGATTTATTCAATAATTACTCCTTTATTATATGTAATAGAAAAAATGGTTTAGGACTTTTCGACTCAGTTTTACTCCTTCTACCTGCTTACGAGAGATTTTACACTAATTGTCGGACCCTGTATATTTTATCGTTTCAAAACTATAAAAAATCAATACAAATATAACGTAAGTAACTCTATTCAAAACTAATTTACTTCAGTTTCTATCGAAAGTTTTCTAAACACAAATGAATGACTGACCAAACTTGCACGGTATGTAGTGCAATTGATAATCGTTTTATTGTACAACTTAATTCTAAATTACGCTGTACTATAATGTTTTTTAATTAAAAAAACTCGATTATATTTTAGAATAAAATCTTTGAACTGTGTGTACTTAATTATATCTAGTTATCAATTTCTGGTTTATTAATTTCTCTTGAATCGCTTTCTATTCGTTATAAGATATATATAAACTTTCCATTACACTTCTCTATGATAAAAGTCCGAAGATAAAACGTATCAAACTCTTATCGCATATAAAAACCCTAACGTCAAAGTTGAAAATCGCGTAGTATCATTGGCGCGTCGCAGTCCCGCGAGAGACGTTACTGCTCGACCACACTCGTATGTGCCCAGAAATGGGAGGTTTGTCCCAGAAGAGCGATTCCCATTGCTTTGTTCGACGAAGGAACTATAACGGTGGTCTTCATTAGTGACTAAGCCACTATATAGGACCTCCGCCCACTATATGTGAATAAATGCGCGCCCACCTCAAATTCAGTATGTATACATATATGTGTATGGTGTGCTTGTATATGTATCTCGGTGACCAAGAGCATTTCGTGATAATCAAGAGAGAAAGAGAGAGAGAGAGAGAGAGAGAGAGAGAGGTCTATGTTAGAGCCTGACGACGAGAACTCAATATAACGGTGCCAGCTGTGAAGAGACTCGAGTCGACGGGAACTCCCGAGCTGAAACTCCATTATCCTTAATTATAATCGCGTTTAATCGCAAACTCATCCCGCGTCCTCTCCCTCGCATACGTGCCGCCCTGATGTCTCCGCACAGAGATCTCGCCTCCTTGTTCTCGCCGTTGCTCCACACTCGTTTTCGTCGTTCCGAATGCAGCCACATGATTATCAATTCGGAATCAGCGCGCGAATGTTTTCCAACACGATGAGGTATGAATCAAGCGAATAGCCCGAAGAAGAAGAAAATTATTTGTTATATCGCGAAGAAAGAAAAGGAAAGATTCTGCGCGCGACATCCTTTTTCCTGCTTGGCATGTACAAAGTGCATCGTATGTATCGACGAAAGTAGATAGAGAGGGAGAGGAGACGGCGGTTTAAGTGCCTCGAGAGTGCCACTGGGAAATATCGACGTCGTCGGTCGGAGCCACATGCAGGTGTATGATTAATGCCGCGGATCCGCAACGCGCGCCGCAGAGATATCACGTGCGGGAATTGATTCTAATGAGACCCCACGTGAGAGGGATCGTCCGTTGGTGATCGGGGCGTAAATCGCGCTTTTACTCTCGCTTTGATCTCGCCTGGGACGAACTTTGATCAGACGCTTATTTACACAGGAACACCGGATACGTACCGGCGTACATACACAGTTGTCGCGGTTTTAGGAGCTCACTTAAACTCTCTGAACACATACCGCCTTTCCGAAAGGAATGTTCTGTTCTTCAAGTAGATGGAATTTTTCGATCTGGAAAGAGAGATCAAAGCAAGCTAATGTGAAATACAATTTTGTTTCTCAATTCTCTTGCTTCTAATTATTGTTTTTTTTACTCGTTATTCTTAAATTAAGACACAGATACTAAATAGATTATTGACAAAATCATATTTACATTCGTCAAAATTACATTTCAATGATTTATAATTTCTGGTTAATAGGGTCAATTTTTAAGCTTGATGAGAATATGTTTATACGCATTGACCTTTTAAATATTACATGAATGTCATATCTATACTTGCTAAGTTAAAATAATTCATCGTAAATCTTGCGATAAGTTTCACGCGATGTTCTCGGTCTTTACACGCGGTTTCCGTGAATCCTCGAGATCATTGTTCAACCACGTAAAAGGATACGTACATACATATTCTCGCCACGGATGGAAATACGACGAAAGATAATCAATCGGAGTGTGTACGGTATCTTATCAAAGTTGGCCTATCTTCGCGAAACTTACCCGCATCTTCGTCTCCCGGGACGCCGGCGAGTGACGAAAGCTGCGCGAGTGCGAGCGAGATAAATCTCACCAGGTGGTATGTGCACGCGAGAAAGGAGAAATGTGTAGGGATGAGAGAGACAGAGAGCAAAAGGGAAGACGACTGACGAGAGAAGAAGGGATACCACCGCGCTGGTAGACTCTGTGCTAACTTTCGCGTCCGTGTGCTCGCGGCGTCGCTAGAAGGAACTTTGTCGATCAGAGTTACGAAGGAGATTCCCAGTTATGCCGCGGCGGTATCACCCTGTAGATGTGGCGCAAAAGGAGTGAATGGCGCCGCAGGTGGGATAATGACGAGACAGGGAGGATGACGACGAGACGACAGTGTTGTCGCTGCGGAGTTATACCTTTCGCGGTATTCTTTGTCAGAATCATTCGATTCGATTGTCTCCGCCGATACAATTCGATTTATCTATTAACAGGAAGAAGTAACAATTTCTATCTAACTTCGCTGATTTGAATTTATAATAAATTTCATTGTGCAATAATCACTAAGAGAAATTTGCGCTACACAACATATCTTAATTAAATGTATTTCTTGGAGAGAGAGAGAGAGAGAGAGAGAGAGTGCACACGTACAGTGTAGATTTTTTATAATCTAATACACACATAATCTAATACATAATCTAATACATACTATAATCTAATACATACATGAGAGGATATTATAAAAAAAAATAATTATTTTGAGGAAAAAAATATAAACAGAAAACGCGTTCAATAATTGATACAAGATATGTATATAGAAATAGAAAACTTGTAAGAAAAATAACATTTAATGAAGAGCAGAAGAACTTGATATGTTTATTATAATTGATTGCACTCTCGCAATTCATCTTTCTATCGTACTTAAGATACGGTCTTTTTATAACAACGCGGTACTTTAAGCATGCTGTGACGCTGAAGAACTTTGAGATGATCGGTTAAGACTCAGCAAGGGAGCCGAGGAGTCGGAAAATACAAGCGCAAAGTAGGTCAGAGAAGGATAATTATCTATTTCTCGGCTCTATTACACCTAAAGTACCGGCTAAAGAGGAAAAGCTAATAAGAAGCAGAGCAGGCAGCAAATCACTTTAATTTTCAAAATCGTTATAACCATAACGCTAGCAAAACTTTTCAGCTTTACTTGTGTGTGCTTTTAAGAGGGTACTAGAGCCCGATCCGTAAACTGGATAGAGATCTGAAAAAAACCGACGTTTTAAAAACCTAAATTTCTCTAATTTTTAAGTTTCTTTACTGCATTACATAAAAAGTGCTTCTACAGAAGCAAATACATATGAACAACTATTTAGTGCTTTTGAAAATAGATATATAATGCCTTTTGAAACTCTTTTTTTCATTCATAATGATAGCATATGATAACCTATACTGTCATCACACTACATGAATATATAGTGAGGTTATAGAAGGAAACTGTATAAGAAAAAATTTATGCTGAATTTTGACATTCCAAAGAACAAGCGCCAATCCTTAGCACAATTTACTTATTTTTGTAGAAGCATTTTAGATTTAAAGAAGTAAATACGACACCAAACGTCATAGGAGAAAGTCGGTTTGCAGGTCTCTATAGTCGTCTATCCAGTATCCTCTTAAGCAGCGATGCAAATTGTGCGAAAGACATGCGCGTTTATGCAACGCACATATTAGTTTAATGACATTCGTCTATTTTCCACATACTTGAAGCTTTTAAGTATGTAAAAATAAAAAGCAGAAGTTGTGTTGTGTACATGTAACGCGTAATATATCATCGCAATTTAGATCCTTTATAATTACAAACCGCAATTGGGATTTCTATTTCCCCGATGTTTTTTTTTCGCGAGAAAATTCGTGCGCAAATTTAGTTTCGAAAAAGAATCCAAAATTACGATTAATCGCTCGGATTCGTGGCGCAGAAGGAAAGCGCGAGCGATGTCGCGCATAGGTGGGAAATTTCGCTCATGCGAATTTCGCTTCATTCGACCTTTTCATCTTGACAGTGAGCGAGCGCACGGGCGCTGTAACGAAGAAATATTAACGCTAAACCAACGAATGAATACGAATCCGCACGTTAAATCTTAGAAAAGCTCGTGCAATACAGACGG